GAAAAGAAACAAATCAAGCATTTATCCTGCCATTTCTGCACAGGGTATATATATTTCAAGGGAAATAAAGAGTTGATGTAGGAAAGTCTTCCTTTCGGAAAAAAAATCTAAGAGGGGCGCCTGGGCGGCTCCTCCAGAGAAGACAGACAATTGGACATCCTGTTGTATCTGATGTGACGCATTAGAAAGGACACAGCACCGCCTGTGAAGTGATTGTGGCCCAATAAATGAATAGGGCTCCAATCAAGGTTCTAGATCAAGAACGACCAGTCCACAGGAAAAGCAGGGGACAGAGAAACATGATAACGCCACGGGGACAAGATCAGCCCAAGCAGACCACAGAAAACTCTACAGGACAAATGGTATGGTCTGCTTTCTCCCACAAATAAATGACACTGTAAAAAAGAAAAAAAAAGAGAGACGGAGAGAGAAGACGAAGAAATGTCATGGATTAAAGGAGATTTAGAGGCATCTCAAGCAAAGGTAATATGGAGACATTGTTTGGATTTGGAGTGGAATAATCAAGCGGAAAAATCAGACATTTTTGAGATAATGTGGGAAATGTAAAAACGGAGTGTTTGACGATAGTAAGGAATCGGTGCTAATTTTATTGAGGGTGATGTGGTATTGTGTTTATGTTTTTAAAAACCGAGGGGGAGGGGCGCCTGGGTGGCTGGGTCAGTTGAGCATCCGACTTGGGCTCAGGTCATGATCTCACTGTCTGTGAGTTCAAGCCCCGCGTCGGGCTCTGTGCCGACAGCTCGGAGCCTGGAGCCTGCGGATTCTGTGTCTCCCTCTCTCTCTGCCCCTCCCCTGCTCGCTGCGCTCTGTCTCTCTCTCAAATATAAATAAAAACATTAAGAAAATAATAATAATAATAATAATAATAATAATAAAAAGAAGAAGAATAAGAAATAAACACCGAGGTATTTAAGAGCCAAAGGGTGTGATGCCAACAACTTACTCTCAAATGTTCAGGGGGGAAAAAAGATGATAGATAGACAGATGATTGACTGATAAAGCAAATTCGGAGAATCTGGGTGAAGAGCATCATGGGAGTTCTTTGTATCACTCTTACCATTTTTCTGTAAGCGTGAAAACATTTCAAAATAGAAAGCTCAACTTGTTGCAATATTTCTATTGGTAAATAGCCCCTGCGGGAGCCTTCCCCTTACCATCCCCCCCTCCCACACCCCTTCTTCCCATTTCCTTCTGGGACCCACCCAGCCCC